GTGCACAAAAGGCAACTGAAAGATGGGACTTATTCTGCAAACGGTTTGAGTCATCAGACACCGTTTGAAGAACATGCATCAAAAATCAGAACTTAAATAAGAGGCAGAAAATAAGAGGAATTTGGAATTTTGATATGGAAATATATATAGAATGGATGTCAGTATGTCATTGTTTCTCCTCTTCCCCTTCACCTCAATCCCTTTTTCTTTCCTGTTAAGCTATGTTAAAAATATACTATATATTAAAAAAAGTTTCAATTTGCATATAAGAAGAGCCCTACTAGGGACTTGGAAAAAGATCATCCAAAAGATTTATCAAAAAACACTGGGTATTACCCATAGAGGCCTTTACACAACCAAACCTCGTGACAGAAGTGAAACTTCTAAGATATCAAGATCCTTTAAAAGTAAGATCCAAAGAAGAGTTAGAAACACAAAACATATATCTAGACTGGTGGTCCAGAGCTAAATGCAATCTAGGTATAGAAAAGATAAAATAGAGGGCTTTTATACAGAACAAACAATATTTGACAAACTTCTGCTGGGCTCAAATGATAAAGTAATTAAGAAAATGTATGATTACTTGCTTGAACTTAAACTGCAAGACAAGATGTATCATCAGGTGGGCACAAAATATAGGACATAATATATTGATATTGATCAATGGTTGCAAATACGGAAAAATTACATTAAGCTCACAAAATTGGTAAATTTCAAGGAGAACATATACAAGATATTTTATAGGTGGCATATGACTCCGGAAAAATTGTCAAAGATTTATACAGAGGTATATACACTTTAATTTCTGCATTGAGCTGGTGATTGGGCTATATGACCTTAAAACATTCCTTCCAACGCCATGATTCTATGCTATGAATAAAGAAAGACATCTCGCTTACCTTGGAAACGTTAAGATGGATTTGGAATTGGGTTGTTCCTTTTTCGTCCAGAGAAAAGTGAGCGGAGATCTGCTTTTGGGAAAAGAAAAATGATCAATATGGAGGCACATTGGATAAGACAAACAAGTGACATTTCTTAATAGCGCCTGGCTTTGTAGTTTTCATATCATGTGGAGTTACACCTCCAACTCTTTCTTTCTTTCGTTCCTTTGGAAATCAGGAAAAGGAAAATGGAAAGGCAGCTAATGAAGAAACAACGAGGAGGGAGGAGGGAAAGAGGAGGAAGAAGATGGAGGGGCCTCTTACAGACCTGGAGAGAAAAATTTGGTCATTCAATTTAACTCTCATGGTTGGTGGGAAGCAGAGAACAACAGGCTGTGCTTCCCCCTTTACACACTCAGGGAAATGAGGGGCGCCAGAGAAACTATTTGGGGACTGTAGGTGAAGGTGAGCTGAGTGGGCAGGGACTGATCCAGCCGATTTGCCTGAAATCAAGGATGTCTTTGAAGGGATCAAATCTCTGCATGGCAATGGTGAACCCCGTTTTGAAAACTGTATTGGACCTCAAAAACTCTCATACGAAAGGTAATGTGGTGTCCTTTACAGAATAATGTGTAAGTCTAGGACTTCTGATGGATTGTATTTCTTCTCTCCTACCCTCAAATTCTTCTGCTGGAAGGAGAAGTCAGGAGTTTGGCAACATCTGGAGGCTCCCTTACTCCTCTGGTTCTTTCCCTGCAGGTATAAAAAGAGCCTCATTGCAGTCCACACAGGGCAGCTCATCCGTGCAACCTGAATTGGTCTTTGTCTCTTTGTGGAGGGCTGCCTTTTGATGGTGAGGGAGAAGAACTCAAAACCCAGTGAAAGAGGGGGGGGGGAAAGGATGTTGGTTGCCCCTAAGCCGTCCCCAAACTTAAACAGCTCTGATAGTCTGGGTGACCAACCCTCTGGGTTGAAACTCTTGCTGCTAAACACAAGGTCAGTTGAAGGATGAAAAGAACCGCCATCCGAGACCTGATCCTGGGCGATCCGGCCCATCTGGTTTGCATCCCTGAAGGTTTAAAAGCACCACCGCCTGACTCCCTAAATGCTCCCTCCTCCTTTTCGTTCTTGTGTGACATCTTTTCCCCACTCCCAGCCAATTCAGGGGAGAAGCTGCTCACTTGGTCTTCGTCTGCTTGTGGAGGGATGTCTTTTGATGGTAAAGATCACAGGGTGTGTATGGGGGGGGAATCGGGAAGCAGCTATAGTAGGATTTATTCAGGGCAGAGGAAGATATGGTGGGGTAAAAGCAGTCACAGCCGCATGCAATGGATGGGTGGGGAAAGCATGTCGGTTATCCCTAAACTATCCCCAAACTTAAACTCCTTGGATAGCCTTGGTGACCAAACCTCTAGGTGGAAACTCTTGCTTCCAAATGCCAGGTGAGTCGAGGGTGCAAAAGAACCGCCATCACCCAGGCCCATCTGGTTTGCATCACCAGAGACTTGGTGGGATGAGGCTGAGGGTCTCCCTCCCACCCAGCTTTGTCCACCCTTGTTCTCTGGGGTGCAGCAGGCAATCCCTAGCCGGGAGGGGGGGAGGAGTTGTAGTGGTCTCTCCTGATGCTATTCCCCTCACCTGGTGCCACATTCTCCCCCCCCCTCATTTTCCGTGCCTTTGAAAGCAAGTGCCTGGGGTCTGCACCAGATAGTCTCCGCTCCCATTCATGCTGCAAGGCACACTTCCAACCCGGTTTTCTCGACTGTGGTGGATGTTGGTGATTTGGGAGTGGAGGGACTCCTCAGATGCCTTTGACAGACTTTCCCAAGCTTTCGCCAAAGAGGCCCCTTGAACCTTGAGCGGGAGAAGGAGAGACTAAGGGGAGAGCCCAGGGACTCTTCTCTCCTCCCCCCCCTTTTTTTTTGCCCTGACGGGGGGAGGCAGGATGCAGGGGCGCAGGATCACGGGCCACCCACCCAGATGCCTTGCACGGAGGGGACATTCCGGGGGGGGGTTGTCTCTCTGCCCCCCTAGAGGGTTAGATCTTGACTCCCACCCAGTCTCCAGGACATCCTGGCTCTTCCTTGAATATCCCCCACATCGGAAACCCTTTTTTAAAAAAGCGGTGGGTGAGTATTTATATAATAATCTATTAACGGCCAGACTGGAAGGGACACCCCGCGATGGATCGTGAAGTCAAAGGGCGGGGGGGGGTTGTCTCTCTGCCCCCCTAGAGGGTTAGATCTTGACTCCCACCCAGTCTCCAGGACATCCTGGCTCTTCCTTGAATATCCCCCACATCGGAAACCCTTTTTTAAAAAAGCGGTGGGTGAGTATTTATATAATAATCTATTAACGGCCAGACTGGAAGGGACACCCCGCGATGGATCGTGAAGTCAAAGGGAGCGCCGTGGGGGGGAATCGAACCCCGTCAACCAGGCGACGAAACCACCGCGTCCCTGCATGGAAAGAGTAGCGGTTGGTAACCGGCTGGTTTTAAAAACGCACCCCAGACACCCTCCCCTCCAAAGACAAAGCCTTCCACGACCCCCCCCTTTCCTTTTCTTCCTCTTCTTCCTCCTCTCGAAAAGGGCTCACCCCCTTCCACGGTCCTCCGGAGGCAGAAAACGCCCAGACAGGCCGCCATCCAGCGCGGTCAACGCTGAACGTAGAGACGAAGAAGGGGGAAGCACATGAACCCCAA